GAAACAAAAGTGAATGAATATTAAACAACATATAAGCCTCAAAAAAGCCTCAGTATCCCCAGTTGTTAAGCCGCCCCTGGATAATCGAGAGTTGACTGTATATATATATATATATATTGAGTATATTGTATTTCAGCAATCCAATTACAAAACATAATAGGATTGCTGAAATAATACAATATACCCATAATATATTTACAGAACCCTCTTCTAGAGAATGACAAGGCGGCACACGTACGGCCCCCCCGTCAAGAGAAATAATAAGATGGATGACACAAACCTGCTTGGTTTATGAATTCAAATAGTCTTAACAAACCAATTATAAATATTTTAAAGCATTGGAACAGCCGCTGTAGTTGCAAAGACTTTATATTTTATACCCAATTGTGCATTATTTTATATGTATACATTTTAACTTTCAGAACATATACTGTAATAACAGCCTCCAACTGTACTGATGTAAAGGTGTCCCTCTGATGATGGTCTCTGAAGACTGAAACATGTAAGGCATAAATAACTGAAATAAGAAAAATCTTCACCAGTCATACTGGACAGAACTCTTTAACTTTTCATGATCTTGTTAGTGTGACGGACCAGAATGAAACAAATCAAATTATGGGGATATTACGAAGTTTAACTTAGCAGAATACCATCATAATTTTGGCAGAGATTTACTGCCATGTCCTTCATATTGTGCCAATGGAATTAGTGCATGACCCATGCATCTAACTGTTGATGTTTTTGCTAGAAGATCAGAATGATAAGAAAGTTGCCTGTAGGGTTCTTAAAAAGAAGTTCTATGGCAGAGGAAAATGTCATCAGAAACCAGAGGAAGGCAGAAGTCACATGGATATACAACTAGGATCTATATGGTATCTAATATAATTAGATTTGTCTGGGTGGGTGCTCCATAGGAATTGACTATGGAAGAGATTTTCTTTTCATCTGATCAATGAAGAAAAGTCAGAAGCTCCAATGGTTTACTCAGGCCCTCTTGTGTTGTAAAGACCTGTTCTATTCCACAGTTCTCAGTCCATTCTGTCACTATGTCAAACCTTTGACAAGCACTGGCTTGTCAGGTATGAAGTTGCACCAGAAGGAGCAACAATATGCCAGTGGCCATGAGACATGGTAGGCATGTTGTCAGCTTTCTAAGACACTAAAATTGAGGACTGCTATGTCCATGAGGAGGTATAATCATTAACTTTTTTAATACCACTAAATTGGTCATGATACAGGTATACTAATTTGATAATTTTATTTATGTATTTAATTGCAGAAATGGGAATATAATGTAATACTTGTATGTAAAAAATTAGATGAAGGTTAACATTTTTTCCTTTGTTTGGTTTTGTCTTCTGTTAATGCTCTAACTGGATAAATGTTATGTAGTTTATGCACATACATGTGATATATAAAGTTCACATGCATAGGACATATGTCTTGAGTCAGGTCGGAAGATACACAACAGCAAGTAGCAACAGGGTGTCTTGCATCAGTTTGTTTACATCTCTAGACAGTGATTTGAACTGAACGTTGTATGAGGCACGATAAAATATATTAGTAACAAAATACAGGTAAAAATTCATGCATGACAATAAATACTAAATACAGTAAGTTCTAGGAAGAACTAATCGCCTATTTTCCTTTGATACAACACAGACTGCATAGAAAATGGAAGAAGTGGGGAGGGAACAGGCAACTAATATTATATAATAGTAACCAACACCCTATTGCCTAGCAATGATGGGGGGGGGGGACATACAGACAGCAAGGTGGCCTCATAATCCTAACAAAAATTAAAGGGGGATACACAGACAGCAAGGTGATCTCATAAGCTATCTAACAAAAATTAGGGGGGATATACAGACATGAATGTGTAAAAAGACAGATGGAGAGACACAGACAGACAGCAAGGAGATATCATAAGCCTCCTTCCATTTTCTCATAATAAAAAAGCAGGCTAAAAAGTGGGATATGGTATTACTTACTGTTATCTGAAAAATTCCAAGCCAAGAAAATAAACAAACAGTGTTAACTTAGAAAATGTAAGTCCCTTTCTTTCATAACCCTGTTTCATAACCAATCCATCTCCAATTACAAAAGGGAGGCAATGATTTAAAATTTTAACAAATATAATTAATTCTGCAGTGTATCAATTTTTAAGCCACCATGCAGTTAAATGTTAACATAAGCAACTTCTGTGAACCTTCAGAACCTTATCAGAAAGTTGGAAATTTACTAAATAATAATATAGGAAACAATACCTATAATCCTTTCTACATTATTATAACTCTTAAGCAATTCATTTTGCAACTCCAGCTGACATTCAAAGTATTCAATGTCTTCTGGTGATGCATGCTGCTTCCACGCTGCTAGCTCTTCCTCACGCTTCACAAAGTTTTCAAGCTTTTTGAGACCCTTCACTTTTTGGCCTTTCAGAGACTGTTCAGATTCCCATGTGTTATGTATGTGGGACCATCCTTTCCATTTTATGAGGTAATGCACTTCTGTCTTTTCAAGATCTTCTGGATCACAATCCTTGTTTGGGTCACCATTTTCCTCCACAGCATAAATAGTTGTAGTATTGCCAGTCACTAAACAAAACATAAGATAAATTTGATTTGATTATACTCTCTACTGCAATTTAAGAATGATATAATCTTCCTACAGTGATTTACTTACTTACTCATGGAGCTGAGCCCTTCTGGAGGAGCTGCCAATTCTGCAGCTACTCAAGAATTTCCCAGCATTTTATGGAACCCGAAGGTTCATCACCGTGTTCACAAGAGCCCTCCACTGGTCCCTATCCTGAGCCAGATCTATCCAATCCATACCATCCCATCCTCTCTCTAAGATCCATTCTAATATTGTCCACCCACCTACGCCTTGGTCTTCCCTGTGGTCTCTTTCCTTCTGGCTAGCCCACCAATATCCTATACGCATTCCTCATCTCCCCCATTCATGCTACATGACCTGCCCACCTCATCCTCCTTGACTTGATCATTCTAATTATACTTGGAGAAGAGTACAAGTTATGAAGCTCCTCATTATGCAGTTTTCTCCAACCTCCTGTCACTTCATCTCTCTTTGGTCCAAACATTCTCCTCAACACCTTGTTCTCAAACACCCTCCTTCCTACAGTGATACAGGAATTAAAAGAATCCATTGTTTGACCTGTTAGACACTCTCTCTTTGAAAAAGTGACCCCAAAGAGGGCTTGTTCTCCTACAGACTGGTTCCTATTGGTCTAATCACACCCCAGACTAATTCTGTGTCTGTTGTTGGTAGCCTCATTTTAAATATGAAGACTACAGTGTTTCCAAAACAGTGGTAAACCACCCAACACAATAAACTGATCACCCCCCAAAAAAATGATTATGTATGTGAAAGCCCCAACATCCTGAACTGGGATAATATACCAAATGGGGGAGGGGGGGAGTTAAATATAATTTCATTACCTCCCTTCTTCCCACGTCGATATGAAAGTATTTTCTCAATGGTCTCTGCATTATCTGGTTCTGCTGGAGTCTCTGTCTCATTCCATTCCACTTCCACAAGGTCTTCTGAGCCTGTTTTTTCTTCATCACTATCTTCTTTGTAACTCACTGCAGCTGCAGTACGACGATTTGCATGCCTACACAAATTAATTTTACTCCAGCAAAAAGATAATGAAAGATTATAAAACAAGGTTCTAAGTATGTCTCTTAATATAATTACACAGACATGATTCAAAGATATTAATATTTGTTTCTATAGCCTTCAAATCTTACATGATATATGTCACAAATATCTGAAATGATTGAGGATGACAATGTATATAAATTCAAATTACATGCTCTTCAATTTTAATCATTCTTCCATATAATCTCTATCACTGATGGTGTATGCTTGCATACCTCCGACTTTCATTGTCATCATCACTGTTGAAGCTAGATTCATCTGATGATTCACTGTATTTCCGACGTGATACCTTCTTGATTTCAACTTTATGTCTGGGCTTCGATGGTGTATTCTTCCTTGAAGGTGGTTTACTTGGAAGCGGTCTCTCAATTTCTTCTTCAGAGTCAGAATTTGATGTATCTGAATTCCAGGTGTCTGACCTACACACACAACAAACAAACAAATCAGATATTAGCCTATGATTTAATACAAAGGTCTGTTGGTTCCATCTCCCAGCGCATGCTCTTCTTGTATGCAACTTAACCTACATAAAAAAACCCAACAACAACAACAAAACAAAACAAAACATTATTAGGATCCTCTTCTCTCATGCAAATACTATAAATCAATCAACTACAGTTTTTTTTCCTCCAGCTAGTAAGATTTAAAACAGTTCTCAAGAATCTGAGATCATCATAGTTCCTATTAATAATCTTCTATATAGGTCAATTTTAATACAAATATGCAAGGTCAAGGTCGGTTCCAGTCTAGAAAACCGAGATTAAGGCTGTGGGGATCCGTTGCGCTGACCATCCGCTGAAGTTGGCACTAACTTCGCCAGCAAGTGGTGGTTGCTCAATCGGTATAGTTCGCTTGAGGACTACAGGCCACGGAGTTTTATGCAAGGTCAGTACTACTTTTAACACATATCTGTGAGGTATGTGTAGTAGGCTCCTGATCAATGCTGTATTAACCAGAGAGCTCATGTACAGATGAATGTGATGTTTGCTAGATATTTAAGATACTGAGATTTCCATTGAGATGGTGATTTTCTGGGATGAAAAAAGAGGTCAGCTATTGCTCATTGGCACAGAGTTAATTGTGATTTTGGAAAGAGAAGCAACCTCAACTCAGCCATCACTTATGTCTAGGTATCGGAAAGCTCCTTGAAGTCAGAGTGATGTTCTGTTCAGTCCACTGCCCTAAGAAAAACAGATTCTGCCTATGGTCCTCTTCCATTATAAACACAAAGATGCAACTGACGCAACTGACTGGTGCAGCACTCACAAACATGTGAATGTACCTGCACACACAAATCTGAAGTGACAAAAATCCTCATTCAGTATACCAGATTTTGTAATATGACACTAAAATTGTAGTGTGATGCATTCCATGTGCTAGGTGAATGTTCCAATGTTTTACTATAAAACCATGAACTCATACCACTATGTTAGGAATATACTGGAACCACTTATTAAATAGCTGATGAGTGCACTACAAAAAGTTTTCAATGACAGAATCATTGGTACAGGATTGTTGCTTCCAAGGCTTAATGTGTTAATGTCTGTGATTTTTATTTGTGGGGAAACATAAACAGAAAAGTGTACAGGAATACACCTTGGATTGCTGAAGCTTATGAAAATGAGGTAAGGGACGTGACTGCTTCAGCTTTCAAAGATGTGAGGCATTTTTAAGGGCTGAGGGCAAATGCTCTGAGCATTTTCTGCACCATCTAGCACATTTATTTTCCTTACTTTATCTTTTAGCATCTCATGTTACTTGAAAAGAAAGTTTCAGGCCACAGAGTGAGGGTGGGTGATTTTGTGATAGTTCTGAATGCAACATGCACTCATTATCTCCTTCAAAACTGACTGAACAGAGCTAGTGGAAGTGATAAGGGGTAAGGCTGAATAAGTCACCAGCCTACCTGTAGCACTGTGATACTTATCCTTTATTCTGAGCGCTCTGTGTAAAGCAATCCACATTGATTTTTATGTTGCATCAATCTCATTTCGGTAATTTTAAACTCTTCTCAACTTTAAATTTACTTAAGGTTGTGAAAACTATTAGCCTGATTAAAATTGACATCTTCTATGAAAATCAGTAAGTTAAACTAAATTGTGGTCAAAATTTTGGGCCAGCAAGATTATGGATGACCATTTTTAAGATTGAAATTCAATTTCAAATCTTCATGTTGTTGATAAATTACAGAATTGTGGTATAAAAATTCACAGATAATGACTTGTGAATAATTCTAGGCACTAGATTCAAGTAATAAAATGATTTATACACAGTGCAATTCTCTCCTGTTGCTCTTAAAATAAAATACTCTCTAACAACTATGTTAATACATCTTCTTATTTCCACAGTCATAACACTTGTTCGATATCTGTTACTTTACTTATAACAATCATAAATATCTTATTTTAAAAATAATGAGCATAGTGAATACCACATTAGTGCTGTTACTGTAATACTATACTTCAGTACCTTTCACAATTTATTTTCTCATCAGCAACAGAGATATCATAATTGGCTACACTTTCTCACCCAGTAAAGTCTGAGGTACTTGTTTAATACAATTTCACTTATTGAACATAACTTGCCTTTTTGAAGATTTCTTTATAATAACTTTCCTTTTTCCTCTTTCACTGGAGTCACTCTCAGCTGCATTTAATCTGTCAGGTTCTTTTCTCGAGCGACCTGAACGTCGAATCCCATAAACATCTGGGTTGTCCTCCCAACACTGGAGATTACCAATAACATATTACTTATAACTCTTGTAATATAAAATAAAAAGTGCAAATGAATAACAGAGGTAGGAGGATGAATAAGATGTCAGATTTGAAATGGTGTTCCATGATGGAATAAAATAGAGAAAAAGAAAGCAGTTCTTAATTTCAGACTCTTACAACTTTTGCTTTCATCTTACATTCGGTTAGTAGCACAAGCAGACAAAATAAAATAGTGAAATATTCGAAGTAGGCACTGCCTCAATAGAATATAACTATATTGGTAGATTTTCTGAAATGTGCATTGCATACATGATGTGTAAGGTACATAACTCATACATTAATTCTTTCAGTATCCAGAATTATAGTTTAAAAATGTATTTAATCTGGTGACAGATGTTTTGCAATTGTATATGAGCTTTCATATTAAGTAGTAGAGCTGTTGTTCAAGATCAACCAAGACTATATCTGTCCACACATGAAATGTATAAAATTTCACTGTAACACTGCTCATGAATAAAAGCACAGGAATGAAAACTAAACACATCTGAGTATATTATATGATCAGGTATGTATTTGTGACCTAAATTTTACAGATGTTCAATGAGGGCTCTGTGAGTGGTCTGGCAGACATCACAACTGTCTTCAATTTCAGTCCACATGTTGCTACACAAGTTGAAGGCAAATGCAGCCACTGCAGCTCTATCCTCTCAGAAACGTCCAGCAAAGTGGCAGCCAATGGTAGCATCTATACAGCACCCTTGGTTTACCCCCAGAAGAAAAAATTAAGAGGAGTGTGTTCAGGCAAATGTGGTGATCAAGTGACAGTTCCATCTCTGTCAATCCATTTCCCTGGAAACTAAAGAGTTCCATCACTTCCTTGTCGAAATGTCAAGGTGCTGTGTCTTGTTGGAACACCATGTCATCGGGACCTTCTTCTTTCAAAATAGGAATGAAAAACTGACTGTCTCTTGCATGTTCATTTACATCACAAGGACTGCCATTCTCACAGAATCTCAGGTTATGACATTTAACATTTCTGATAAATGGAATGTGGCTTCATCAATGAAGACAGCTCTGGCTGGAAAAAGCTTATCTTCAAGTCTTGAAAGAAAATCAAGCAAAATGTGTAGGGAACTTGATTCATGTTGTTACATGTTGCAACCGTGGGTACCTACAACTATTAAATTATGTAGGTCATACCGAAAGTCATGAGCAAGCTGGTTTCACCATTTCAAGCCTGAAACGAAACAGCAGAGTATGGAATGGCACCATTTGCATTTTCCATCAAAAAAGAAGGCAAAGACAGTGCCATCAGCTGCGAAGGTGATGGGCACAGTCTTCTGGGATAGAGAGGGGTGTATTCTGGCCGAATTCCTGGAACCTGGGCAAACCATCAATGCTGCTCGTTATGTTCAGACACTGCACAAGCTTTGTTGTGCATTGCGTGATAAACGTTCATGATGAAACATCATCATCCTGCATGACAACGCTCGCCTCACATTGGAAGCAATTGCAAAGATGGGGTGGGAAGTTCTTCCACACCCCTCCTATAGCCCTGATCTGGCACCATCCAACTACCATCTTCTTGGATTTGTGAAGGATCAGCTGCATGGACAACGTTTTGAGACAAGGGAGGCAATTCAGAAAGCAGTGCATCAGTGTCTTCGGATGGCTGGAACAGAATTTTACAGAAGAGGAATTTTCACACTCCCAGAACGCTGGGAGAAATGTGTACAAAGAAGTGGCGATTATGTGGAAAAATAAAGAAAGGTCTGTAGATTGAGGTGGTGTATTTGGTTTGTCAATAATAAAGCATGTTACTTTACAAAAGACTGTTGCTCATGACTTTCAGTACGACCCTCGTACATCCATATCTGGAGAATTTTGGGTATTGTTGCCTGTGGCATGCATAACTGTTGGGCAACATGTCTGGATGATTTGTGTGGAATACGATCTTGAACATCATTCACCTGAGATTCAGTGTCTGATTGCCCCCACTGCTTTTTTCCTTTACAAATTGAGCCAGTCTCATCAATCAATTCATACACCTGTAAATCAACACTTTTATATACAGTATCCTTCCAAACACTGTATTACACTGTAATCACAGTTCTAGTCATGGAACAGCATACATTTAGCTATATCTGAGCTGCCTTTTTACAACACCCTTCAGGTGGAAACTTGAGTGGCATGAATTATAGACCCACTCAAATGCATTTACTTTGCATTCCTGTGGATTTCATTTCATGATTAATGTTACAGTAGAATGGTATATATTTCAAGTGTCCACCCCGCATTACAGTAATAGTAAAACAGACAGGCTTGGTGTGAACTCCACCCCAAATTTATTTCCTGAAGTGCTCCACTGCCCCTATAATTAAATTACATAACATCACATAAGCAGGAACTAACATGAAATATTTTCTACCAATGAGATATGCTGATGACTATCAAATGGAAAAGCCAGTATGAACGAATGATAACACACAGTGTGTTTGGGCATCCTGTTGCAGTAGTTGATCACTTTATATATATATATACACACACACACACACACGTGTGTGGGAGCATGCAATACAGTCTTGTAAATGCAACACTTTCATAGCCTGTTGTCAGAATTATACTTTTTTCATGGTTTCATATATATATATATATATACTACCACAGTCAATAAGTTTGTGGAATGGCTGCAGAGCATCGTACAGGAATTTACTGCCAATACGTTTCAGCAATGTTTTCGACAGCTATATCAACGTTGGCAGACTTGCTAGCAGTCAACGGCAACTATTCTGAGGGCAGTTTTTAAGAAAACCATGTTGGATTCTTGTTAAAATAACTATAAAATGATGTGTTGTGCATTATTCTATACCCTTTCTACTTGTGATCTGTTTTGGTCTACACACTTAGCCACCAAAGAAAGTGTAGTAATTTATATGAATCATCATATATACCTTATGAATGCTCCATGTGGATGAAACATGTTGTGTATATATATATATATATATATATACACAACATGTTTCATGATTATATATATATATAATGTAACGTGTCTGGAATCCAGAAGAGTCACTTCTATGGAAATGCTAGAATAGACCATTGCGTAGGAAACAACAATCGCTCTATTGTAGTTCTAACAGGAGCCTCCACGGTTATAAGGGTTTGTCTGCATACCAGCGACCGAGGTTATAAAATGGGGTTGAATGCATTCGAACAGTCAGTCTGGAATTAACCGCCGAGGAGGACAGTGGATAATAATTGTACTCATGATTGTATAAGTGAAGCATCCAATAAGGGCTCTATTGAATTTGAGATCTATGCGGATTTACTTGTTGCGGGACACACGGAAAACACGTAACAATATATATATAAACATGGACTAAGTTGTGTTACAACCAACAAGCTATGAAAATATTGCATTAACAAGATTGTATTATATACAAATATGTCAAGTATATCACCACTGTCACCATAAATTTAATAGTGAAATGACTTTATGATTCACAATTCACTACATTGTGTGATGACTCCACCTTAAAAGTGATATCTTTTATGGTATCAGTAATACAGCAGACCTGTTAGTAACATACATATTATGGTAACCCAGAAATTATAGCGCGTTTCTTTGTTACTCTTACTGCATTCAACACAGCCTTTTTTTCATGAACTTACATTTTCTCACTAAACAAATGGGTGCAATTCATCACCTAAAGTATGAAGATATATTAATGGTGGAAACTTTATTACAAATAAATACTGGAACCAATGCTTCCTTAATAACAATGTGTGCCATAATTAAATATTGCAAACAGAAGTTATTTGCCCTTTTGTCTAAAAAACATTATTTACTATACTCACTGATGAAAAAAGGAAGTCTCATACACAGGGCATAATAAACATCTATCACTTTTAAATCATACTCAGTCAATGTGATTTCATGAAAGTGGGTATACTATATGACTATTACAGGAACATTTCTCACTGCACACCAGGAATATGTACAGAAGATGATCTGCAGGAAGTCACAAGCTTAATCAATGCTATGCAGTGGATATTTCCTTTCTTTGTAAGTTATTTTACAGTTGAAGAGTTGCATACTCTGGGATATAATGCCATGTAGTCCGACAAAAGACAACTGACGTTTCAAAGCAACATGTCGCCTCCATTTTCATGGTCAAAGAATAAGCCAAGCAAGAAACCAGAGTGGCCAGCAGAGCTCTTCCTAAACACTGGTTGCCTATCAAGGGACTACAAGGCATTATATCCCAGAAGACAGAACACTTCATAACCACCACTGTGAGAACCTCAACCCCTATATATTTTCAAGTTATACAAACACTCAAAAAGAAAATCACACTCTGGATACATTCCACTTGAGACAATGATATTTTCTCTGCAAACAGATCTAGTAACTCTTTTTTATGTCTGCTTATATTTTCTGAACAATATACTTCATAGTGAACTAATTCTCTCATACATATTGTTACAATAACTGATTTTACGATACATGATACAAGGTCCTTCTTCAGTGCAAACCATATATTATAGGTCTTTCGTTTTGCTCTCCTTTACACACTACATGAGAACCTCAAACCCTATATATTTTCAAGTTATACAAACACTCAAAAAGAAAATCACACTCTGGATACATTCCACTTGAGACAATGATATTTTCTCTGCAAACAGATCTAGTAACTCTTTTTTATGTCTGCTTATATTTTCTGAACAATATACTTCATAGTGAACTAATTCTCTCATACATATTGTTACAATAACTGATTTTACGATACATGATACAAGGTCCTTCTTCAGTGCAAACCATATATTATAGGTCTTTCGTTTTGCTCTCCTTTACACACTACATGTTTCGGCCACAAATGACCATCATCAGGTGTATTACTCACATATCTGTCACACTGCAATTAGTTTAACATTTAAAATTTAAAAACACAGGTCTTCCTGATTGTTCCTTTCGTCATTACCAAAATCTACTTCGTTGATATCTGTGTTATTTACACATGTCAATTTTTATTTCTCTGAATTAGCACTTATAACATCTTTAGTTCTAATTTTAAAATCTTTTCAATTTTCCTCTAAATTTTAAAATTTAAAATTGTCAGGGTTACTTGCCCTATGTCTATAGTGCTGCAGCGGCTACTTCTTGTTTCTAGTATTGTACCGGTGTTATTCTGTGTAATCTCTCTGTGCGCGTGCCGCTGCTTGTCTTTACTACGTGCTAATTCAGAGAAATCAAAACTGACGTGTGTAAATAACAAAGATATCAACGAAGTAGATTTTGGTAATAACGATGAAAGGAACAATTAGGAAGACCTGTGTTTTTAAATTTTAAATGTTAAACTAAGTGCAGTGTGACAGATACGTGAGTAATACACCTGATGATGGCCGTTTGTGGCCGAAACATGTAGTGTGTAAAGGAGAGCAAAACGAAAGACCTATAATATATGGTTTGCACTGAAGATGGAGCTTGTATCATGTATCGTATGGAGTGCAACAGGATGCTCCGTTTGTGGCCGAAACATGTAGTGTGTAAAGGAGAGCAAAACAAAAGACCTATAATATATGGTTTGCACTGAAGATGGAGCTTGTATCATGTATCGTATGGAGTGCAACAGGATGCTTAAATATAACATTGTAAACTAATTTTACATCAGACCTAATGTTTTGGTGCTTAATACAGAAAAGAGAAATTATTCATGTTCACATTTGGGAATGAACATGAACCATATGGCTAAAGATTTTCAATACACAGTGGAACTGACAGTAGTACAGAGTATTACATATCATTCTTGTGTTGCCTCCTACCTCTGTTTTCTGTTTTGTTGCTGAAGATTCATTCTTCTTTACCTGCTTAAGATCAGAGGCAGACTGGCGAGACTTGCCAGGACTACTCTTAGTGGGGCTAGGTTCACTACTCTTCTCTTGAGACGATCTGTCTGAGTCCGATACACTACCACTACCAGATCCAGATTTGGATGAGCCTGAAGAACTGGAATCAAACTCAGTAGAGAATTTAAATGTCCAAAAAAAGAAAAAGAGTTGTCCAGAAGTTCATTCTTATGTACCACAATTTCACAGCGATCCATGGTCCTCTGTTACAACAGAACCATTAGATGATTCAAGGCAAATAATGTCTTCTTATTGACTTTTTGGTACATTAGCAATTAATAATACTATACTATAAATCCTACTGCATGATATTAAGAAGAGTAATAAGAGAAGCTGAAAGGAAATATTATAATCAGTTAATTACATCAGCTGAAAACAAAATAAAAACTACTTGGAACATTATAGACACTGAAACAGGGAGGAAAAACAATAATAACAAAGAATATTCTACTTCAACTTTTCAAAATAATAGTAAAAAATAAATACTGATGAAGCTGCTCATAGTTTTAATAAATATTTCCCATCAGTAACAGAAAATCTTAATATGAAGAAAACTAATGTTTATATTGCAATGTCATACTTGCATACTAATTTCCCTGATGGTTTTCCAGATATGTATCTTAATTTAGTTGCAGAAGAGGAAACAATTAGTATAATTAACTAATTCAAATCAAAAAACTCTTCAGGGTATGATGGCATACATAATAAAATAATAAAACTGTGCAGAAAACAATCAATGATCATATTGTAACACATAAAATATTACTTTCAGAGCAGTATGGATTCAAAAAGGGATTATCAACTGAAGATGCTATATATAAATGAACCAATGTAATACTTAAAGCTTGGAATAGAAAAGAGTATGTAACTGGTATATTTTGTAATATAGCCAAGGTGTTTGACTGTGTCAATCGCGAACTTCTGTTAATGAAACTATAGTACTATGGAGTGCTGGGTGTATTATTGCGATGGTTCAGATCTTAACTACAATATAGGAGGCAAAGAGTGGAATTCAATTATATAAATAATAAATATTATTTCAACTGGGAAATTGTTGGATGTGTGTGCCTCAGGGATTGGTGTTGGGACCCTTACTCTTTAATATATAAACGATTTCCCCTTTGAAATACCGTATTTACGCATGTATAGGCCGCACATTTTTTGCCAAAAATTCAAGAGGAAAACTGGGGTGCGGCTTATATTCGAAATCACACTTCATTTAAAAAAAATTATATTCATAATTAGTAATACAGGGTGTAATACTCCTGAAATAATATTCCAAGAAAATTATTTTTTCTATAATTTCTGTCTGAAAATTGTGCTGCGGCCTATACATGCATAAATACGGTAAGTAAAACTTCTGAAGTTATTATGTTTGAAGATGACACTAGTATTCTTTGCACAGCTAAAGACTACTATAATTTAAAAATGAAATTGGATGTTATTTTTAATATGTTTCCATGGTTTCAAAATAATCAATTTGTGTTAAATCTGGATAAAACAAAAATGATAAAATTCACCCCAACAGCAGCCATGAGCTACCCTCTATATATATGTAAGATTTGAGGTTTTTACAGTGGTGACTATGAAGAAAACCATCTTCTGGGATGTGGCGCCGTGTAGAAATTGTGTTAACTGACATTTTGGAGGAACGTATTGCCTCCATCTTCAGGGTAGAAGACAAGAAGAAATCCGCGAACGAACCAGCAGAGCAGGTGCAACAGACTGAGTCCAGTCGAGTAAACACAACAGTATAAGAGAAGGAGAGAAGGAGTGTGGCTACATGGGGAAAGAGTAGAGAGGGGGAGGGGAAGGGAATGGAAGCCAGAGCTGGTATAGAGTATGTGTTAGGGGGAGAGAAGGGAAGGTTAAATGGATGGCATTAACCCTGTAGCTGGGGGCTGCGATGGACCTGATTGGCCTATAGGGTCTGATGTATTTCGGAGCTTACTTGAGGGAACAGATGAGAGGCTTCCATGACTTGCTGAGTCAACAGAACAGAGAGGTGGGGTTTTGTCCCAGCAAGTCATGGAAGCCTCTCATCTGTTCTCTCAAGTAACCTCCGAAATACATCAGACCCTATAGGCCAATCAGGTCCATTCCAGCCCCCAGCTACAGGGTTAATGTCCTCCATTTAACCTTCCCTTCTCTCCCCCTAACACATACTCTATACCAGCTCTGGCCCACTACCTGCTGGCTATTCCACCAGACCCTTCCCCTCCCCCTCTCTACTATTTCCTTATGTAGCCACACTCCTTCTCTGCTTCTCTTATACTGTTGTGTTTACTTGACTGGACACAGTCTGTTGCACCTGCGCTGCTGGTTCGCTCACGGACTTCTTCTTGTCTTCGACCCTGAAGATGGAGGCGATATGTTCCTCTGAAACGTCAGTTAACACAATTTCTACATGGTGCCACATCCCAGAAGACGGCTTTCTTCATACCCTCTACATACACTGTTTTTTAACAAAACGTTGAAAGAAGTAGAAACGATAAAATTTCTTGGTTTGCAGCTGGACAATCATCTGACTTGTAAGGGATATATAGACTTCTTGCTTCAAAGTTGAGCACACTTTCTTTCTTTATTTATTTATTTCATTTTCCCATAAATCAAAATAAATTGATAGAGGACTCGTCATATCGCAATACTATCAGCAAAAAACATACACAGGCAATTCTACAGGTAAACAATACATATAAATCATGCTTATCAAAATGAAAAGGTGCATAAAAATCAAGACAAAAGATTACATCAACCACTCAAAAAACTGTATCAGATGAGCAATCAGATTATAAATTATTTGTAAGAAGCAAGGTTTTCCATTTTTTTTTGTGGAAGCAAATTTATGTACCCTCCTAGTTTGTCTGAGCCAGCAAATTAGAATATGGAGGACAAATTTAATTAAAAATTCTCAAATTGAGAATTTACACTTTTTTATTGTGGAGACTGGCTGTGAACAATGTAAAATTAATTCATCAAAGGTGGACATGCTGAGTGATGATCCAACTAAATTTTAATTATTGACATTCATTACCATTCAGGCCATCATAAAACGGTTGTCTTTGGACTCAATTTACAGGTCTAGAATTTTGAAATAGAATTAATGAAATCTAAATACTGTTGGGTAAAGATTTATACAGAAAGATTGAACAATTATGCAGTGTTACCATCTCAGTTACATCAGTGAACTTGTGTAATAAGGAACAACCGTGTTAACAACCTTCACCTAAGTGATCCTGCCTGTGTGATAAATGCGTACACGGACCAGTGTCTCTGTACAACTCCTGTCATTCAAGTCATGGCCTGTTAACACAATCCAAGAAGGGTCACATGCCCACCTGAGCTAAGCCACATCAGTACCCACTGTTAACACTTTGCGGAACGCGCACCCTTTAAAAGGTTTTTCACTTTTAAACATGGCGGACCGTTCGCCTGTTAACAGGTTTTTAATACATGATAAGTTGCAACACACTATACAGCTCTCTGGCGCCACCCAAGTTGCACGCAATGGCATAATAAAACTCTGGAATATTCACTTACTTGTCAGTAAGTTGATCTCGCTGTTTTCTTAAGCCACTATAAGCGATAATGCTTTGTTGCCCTTCAAGTTGTATGTATCAGCCAGTAGTTAGTGTTGGGGTATGGACAAGGACAAATTCTTTTCCGATGAGCCAGCTGACCTGCCTTGTGAGATGCGTAGTTATGGTGTTTGAGAGAGCAGCAGTGACAGGGGAGAGCAAAGTGTGGCCAATGTAAAAGTGACAGTAGCTCCGACGATAATGGGGGTAATAACATTGCGGGGACAGTAAAAAATTGAAAAAATCACAGAAATCTAAACCCTGATTCGAAATTGAAATACAAAGCATTTCTGATGAATGTGGCAAAGCCCTGACCAGATGGTGGCGGCAGAACCAGAGTCAGACACAGACTTAGTGCGACCGTGCCCATCCAATCCCACCCCACGCAAGTCTCATGGATCCCACTGGGCGACTCTCAGGTGATATGCGGAAACATACCCTCGTGAAAACTGTGAAGAGTGAGCATTCCAAGGGGAAGCATCTTTCTAGGCAATGCCGTGTTTCCACAGTTCACAAAAAAAGGAGCATGTCTACATTGGCAAGTTCTCTGTAATGCCACTTCACAAAGGGGAATGTTTCCAGAAATATTACACTCTCAAGCTCTTGTAGGAGCATTGGAAAGTGTTCTCCAAAAATTTTAGTTCATAAAATTAATTAGGAAATTTTATATTAATTTTTAAAGTGAACAGTGCACAAGCTAGGGTAGTAGGTTTAAAAATACCAGTCTCCAGGGTGATTTAAATATTTAAATCACCGGTCCGCGAAGTGTTAAGGATGACCACTCCCATATCTTTATAAGGATTTCCCATCCAGGAATAACCTATTAGCACCCAATAAAAGCCCTTCTAGCTAACTGACAGTCCTACTTCATCAACAGAAACAATAATCCAATCACATCTACAAACCTTCCACAAATATTCTATACATTCAACCCATGCATACCCTTCACTGATCCAACCATCAGATACTGCATGACATTAACACTTCATTTCTCTAAAATCTAGGTCACCCAAGTGATTTTCCCATGGAGGTTTACAATTAAAATTCTGTATACAGTTCTTGTTTTCAGCATGCATGTCACATCCACTCTGACGCTTCCTGACTTAAGTCACCCTAACAATGCTAAGGAGAAGATTATAAGTTATGAAGCTAAATTCTAATCACTGAAAATAATACCCAATCACTGTATTCACATCACCACTTACAAGCTGGAAAACATGTACTGTGAAAGAAATGGGATTTATTTACTTACCTCTCAGAACCTGAGGCTGAACCTGAACCTGATCTGGAGACAGACTTGGATGATGCACTGCTCTTTGACTCATTATCAGAACCTGAACCAGAGTTCTTCTCTGACTCAGATCCAGATTCCTGGCCTGATTCTTCTCCAGATACCACCTGCATTTGTAGAATAATTTCAGGAAGTTTTCAGTATAATGTACCAAATTACAAATGCAAGCAATTAATACAATAACTTCACCAAAATGCTACTTTGCAAACAAAAGGATCCATCCTAGTACACTATAACATTTGCTGAAGGGGAAAAATAACAGAACACATAATACAAGGACATGAGGAAATGTCTTATTGTTGATCCATAATTGCTGTCAAAGCATATCACACAAGATGAGAAGTTAATATCAGCTCTTATATGAAACAACCTGCAAACATTACAGATATGTCCCACATCAACATATCTGATTTACCATAATAAAATTTGGAAGACTGCTCTACATAGACAAATACAAGGTGAACAGGTAACGATGAAATGCTAGCCTCCTAATGGTTGGTTGCAAGAGGCTTCAGCTGAAATGTATTTCATGACAAGTTTATTTCTCGCAGTAAAAAAAAGGAGAGAGTCTAGAAATGAAGTACGAGTATAGTGACAGAATTTACACATATCAATCCATTCAAACAGGGACTGGTGGCTAGCTGTGAAATGCTACAGCACAGATGAAAATAAATCCAGATATTCTTAAACTTCTGCCATGAAGAAACATTCCCAAGGGATGGTTTCTCATATGGGAAATGCCTATAAAACTTATGTAGGACAACCCTTACACTGAATATGAAACATAGCGACACAAGGTTTCACATATTTGTGTAGTATTATGCAGCAGAACATACTGTGTACGAAAGAATATAAATCCTACTGGGAGTTTAGTCACTTCATGAAAACAGAAAAAGAAACACAATTATACATGTAACATTGATGAGATTAATTAACAAATGTCTATGATGCTCTGTCTTACATGCAACACTTTTTAAAAATTGTTGTTTAAAAGTTACTAGGACTCCAAAAGGAGAACTACCACACCTGAAATCCTACAGACTAGTGGAAGGTGCACTTATTTATGCATGCACCGACCAACAACCTGGTCAATGGCTCACCAAAGCCTTTGACAACCACAGGCTAGAATCAGGGGCCCGGCTGAAGGCTACTGATGCCAGGAACCTGCCCAAGCCTGTTAAAGTGGCTCTCCGGACTAGGGACAAAGTTGCCCAGAATCGGGAAGAGCTGCTGAAATGGACTGCAGACCTCAATCCAGGACTTCATACTGAGAACTGGAGGGTACTAGATAAGCAATCTGAGTCAAAAGGCTAGAGGCTTATCTTATTCATACACAGGGGCTCTTATTACTATTATACAGAGGACCAGTTGCAAAATATTCATAGGACTCTCACAGGGGACTGTTGAGGTGCTGAATGATCCTGAGGTTCAGCGCCGGGCAGAACCTCTGTCAGATACAGCATCATCCAACTCGGCCTCTGAGGGGGAGGGGGATGATGTACCCACTCCCTCAGTTGACCGGAAGAGAGTATCTGATGAGAAGGAGACAATTCCTCCTCTCATCAACCTGACCTTACCAAATCAGGGACCTCCCTCAGAGGAAACCAGGTCTGATATAGGAAAAGTGGCTGTGGAAGAAGGTATTTAGGAGGAGAGGACACCTTTTCCAGCATTACAGAATGAACACACAACATACAAGGTGGTTCAAATATGACTGGGACTGATTTGTAGGTAAACAAACTGCACTGTGCAGCAGCTGTGTGACCTTGAGAGAGTGAAGCCACAACCTCCACCTTCCCTCCTGTTTGGCTTAGAACCTGTTCAGTCCTGTCTGGGAGTTGCTAGAATGATGAGCGAACAGAAGGTACCGCGGAGCATGGAACAACGCACTGTGATAAAATTCCTCGTTAGAGAAAACGTCCCGTCCGCTGAAATTCACCAGACTCCAACAACAGTATGGGGAAGAGTCTCTCTCAGGGACCTGTGTCTTTGAGTGGTGTAAGTGCTTCAGAGAGGGCAGAGAGCGCATGGAGAATGAACCAAATGATTGTCGGCCATGAACATCCGTCACCGAGCCAAACACTGATTGTGCAGACACGCTTATTCGTGAGAATAGACGCATCACTATCAAGGAACTCTGAGCAATGCTGTCCATCACAAGGTGAATGCACGGTGGGTGCCACACACTTTGATGGACGTGAACAAAGTGGTGCACATGCAAGCTGCCAGTTGTCTCCTACAGCAGTCTGAAGGCGAAGGTGATGCATTTTTGAAGTCTATAGTGACCACTGATGAAACGTGAGTGCACTACTTCATTCCCGAGTCCCTGTAGTCATCACGCGAATGGCGGCATACCAGTTCTCCAAAACCCAAGAGTTTGCAATAGGCAGGAGGTTATTGACTTGACACTCGGGACCAATAAAATAGGAAACCTGATCAGTAATTGGCATGTGTCTGATAAGCTGTCCCTATCAGATCACAGGTATATATGCTTTCAAATAAGCAACATTACAGTAGATAAATCTAGTTATAGAAATCCTAAGAGAACCAATTGGGAGTCTTACAAAGATGACCTAAAGGTAAATCTGGAGACCATCTTACGAAATATATGCACAGTAAAGGATGTTGATCGGTCCGCTGACCAGTTGCAACGGGCTATTATCTCGTCCTTTAATCGGAATTGTCCAGCTAGGACCACTCGCGAACCAAGGAGAGTGCCTTGGTGGAGTAAACAGCTGAGTGGGCTTAGAACCAAAACGAGAAGGCTGTTTAATACAGCTAATAGAACAGGGCAGTAGGACATCTACAAGCCCTTACCTGTTACAACAAAGAAATAAGGAAAACAAAGCAAAGCGATCCTCATGGAGGAGGGACTGCCAGGAGATAAATGATGTACCAGGCGGTACCAGACTCATGAGAATCATGGCAAAACAGGCGACCAACAAGGCCAGCATGATTAAGCTGCCTAACGGGAAGTATACTCAAACAGGAAGGGAGACACTGAATGAATTATTCAGGGTTCACTTTCCTGATTCAAAATTGATTGATAATTTGGATGGACAGGGTCAGCAAAACCTGGGCACTTACGAAAGCAAGATGAACAGGGTAGTCTGGAACCTGGCCAAAGTCATAATTGACCAATCAAAAATCAGATGGGCACGGAATACCTTTAGAACATTTAAGTCAGCGGGAACAGATGGAATTGTACCACCACTTTTGCAGCAAGGGGCAGAACTCTTAGTTCTATACCTATGCCGCATATATAGAGCCTGCATGGCACATGGTTTTATCCCCATGGCCTGGAGGCAAGTTAAGGTGACCTTTATCCCAAAGCCCAGGAAACTAGATTACACTGAGGCTAAGGCTTATCATCCTATCAGGGACAGGGAGTTGTGGACATACCCTCTACACCGAAACCAGCATGCCTACCAAACAGGTAAATCTACCGAAAGAGCACTACACAATGTGGTAACACACATAGAAAGTGCAATTGAACAAAAGTACGAGTATTGCCTTAGGAGCATTTCTTGACATAGAGGGAGTTTTCAATAGAACCACATTTGATATAATCAAACAGGCCGCTGGAAAGCATGGCATAGAGCCTGCAATATGCAGGTGGATTAGTGCCATGCTGGAAAGCAGAACCGTACATGCCACATTATCAGGAGAGACCCTGGGGGCATCAGCATCTAGGGGGTCTCCATAGGGGGGCATGCTCTCGCCTCTACTGTGGAGCCTGGTCGTCGATGATCTTCTGTGGGGACTTAATGATGATGGGTATTATACAGTAGGATATGCTGATGACATAGCAATCCTCATAAACATAAAATTCATTTCAACAGTATCAGAGCGTCCTCAAACAGCTCTGCACACGGTCCAGTGATGGTGTGAAGGAACAAGCCTTTCCATCAATCCAAATAAGATGGTAATTATATAGTTTATGGGGAAGAGAAATATAAATGGCCTTAAGGAACCGACCCTCTTCAGTAAGACGATCCAGGTCTCCATCGATGTCAAGTACCTTGGTCTAGTATTACACAAGGGACTGACATGGAAAAAGCAGCTGGACAAGGTCATCAATAAAGCCTATAAGGCTTTTTGGACATGCAGAAGCATGTTTGGTAAAACTTGGGGACTGCAGCCCAACATTGTGCACTGGATATACACTGCAGTTGTAAGACCCATAATTACACATGGCACCACAGTATGGTGGCCCAGAGTTAAACTCAAGACAAGCAAGGCAGAACTTAGTAAACTGCAAAGGATGGCATGTTTGGGTATCACAGGGGCAATTCGAGCATCTCCAACAGCTGCACTGGAGTTACTCCTTGGACTCCCACCACTGCACATATAGTTGGAGGCAGAGGCCAAGGCAGGAATCTACCGTCTCCAGTGCAGTGATCAATAGAAACCTAGATCTGATAGTTTCGGACATGCATACATATCTCAGGACATGAAAAAAGAACCCATATTACAAACGGGGTCTGACAAAATTATACTGAGACATGTATGAGAGGGTACCCAAAAGAAACTGAACTTATTTTTTTTAAACTTATTTATTCAAATTTTAAGCACAAAAATTCAATCCCCTTCAAAGTACTCTCCACTTACACTAATACACTT